TTTTTTTTTTTTTTTTTTTTAATTCAGAGTCTTTTAAGAAATACTTTGCCATGAAAAGTTCCGATTTCTATTCAGTACATTTAATGTCCTAGCAGCTGACATTTTGTAAGAAGATATGTTTTATTGGCAAGAGTCCTGCAATTCAGTAAAATAGCTGGCTCATGGGACAATGTCTTTAACAGTTAATTCATTCAGCAAATATTTACCAACTCCTACTATGTTCTGGGCCTGTGCTCATTCCTGGGGAAGAAGTCTAAAGTGAGGCTGAGCCTCTGTCAACAAAGATGTATTGGATGTCTCAAGCTCTGGCCACAAAAAGTATAAAATAGTACAAGTTTCTTGGTCTACACCTGGGAGGATAAGCTACCTGGAACTCATAGTACTAGATGATTTTTACTGGTTGCTAATTATATCTATTAATTCTTTTTTTAAGAGTCTGAGACTCACGGAGGCAGGAGAATCGCTTGAACCCAGGAGTTGGAGGTTGCTGTGAGCTGAGATGTCATGGCACTCTACCCAGGGGGACAGCTTGAGGCTCCTGTCTCAAAAAAAAAAAAAAGAGTCTGAGACTCACTTTGTTGCCCTTGGTAGAGTGCTGTGGCGTCACAGCTCACAGCAACCTCCAGCTCTTGGGCTTAGGCAATTCTCTTGCCTCAGGCTCCAGAGTAGCTGGGACTACAGGCTACTTTTGTTGCAGTTTGTCCGGGGCTGGGTTCGAAACCATTAGCCTTGGTATATGGGGCCGGCACCCTACTCACTGAGTCACAGGCACCACCCTATATCTATTAATTCTTACTGATGGAAAACTATTAATAATTTTCCTGATTACCAATGCATTTATTCTGGTGGTTCTTTTATTATAGCAGAAGATGGCTGTGCCTCCCACGTATGCTGATCTTGGCAAGTCTGCCAGGGATGTCTTCACCAAGGGCTACGGTGAGTGTTGTGTTGCAGGGAGGGAGGGACCTTTCACACCCTGGGTTGTCGTGTTTGAGATTTTACCCATAACAGTTTTGGAGACCTGCGTCAGTCAGCTGTTCACAACTTACATGTCAGGAAAGAAAGATAAGCTCTGTGTGTCTAGTGAAGCAGTTTTGATTGTACACCCAGTGGGGGCAGGCTCATGAATTGCTGCCGAAGAGTAGTCATCCTCGTTTTCTCTTCCAAGCATGGAGCAGCATGGTGGCGGCTGCTGCCGTGGAGCTCGGCTTCTAAATTTAGCCTGTCTTCAGGCGTGTGCCCACAAGGCCCCATGACTGTGTCTGTCAGCTGTCAGGCATCTTCTTAGACCCCACTGGGAGCGCAGGTGGGGCCCAGGTGGGGCCTGTGCCCATTTCTGTCTGCTGTTGTTCATAGCAGCTTGGTCAGAGCATGCTTCCTTTTAACAAAAGTATTTTTTTTTTTGAGAAGGGCCTCAAGCTGTCCCGCTGAGATATTTTTTGGTTGTAGCCATCATTGTTGTTTTGGTGGGCCTGAGCTGGATTTGAACCCGCCACCTTAAGTGTATGTGGCTGACACCTTAGCCACTTGAGCCACAGGTGCTGAGCCAACAAAAGTATTTTGAAGGCCAGGTACAGTGGCTCACATCTGTATCCAAGCACTCTGGGAGGCTGAGTTGGGTGGATTGCTTGAGCTCAGGAGTTTGAGACTAGCCTGATTAAGAGGGGTGTTGTGACAAGCACCTGTAGTCCCAGCTCCGTGGGAGGCTGAGGCAAGGGGATCACTTGAGCCCAGAAAGTGTGAGGTTGCTGTGAGCTATGATGCTGTGGTACTCTAGGAAGGGTGAAAAAAAGTAAGACTCTTTTTTTTTAAGAGTCTCAACTTTGTTGCCCTCAGAAGAGTGTCCTGGCGTCACACAGCTCACAGCGACTTCCAGCTCTTAGGCTTAGCCAATTCTCTTGACTCAGCCTCCTGAGTAGCTGGGAGTACAGGCACCTGCCACAATGCCCGGCTATTTTTTTTGTTGTTGCAGTTTGGCCAGAGCCGGGTTTGAAACTGCCACCCTTGGTATATAGGGCTGGCACTTACTCACTGAGCCACAGGTACCACCCAAGGCTCTGTCTTAAAGAAAATTTTTTTTTGAGACAGAGTCTCACAGTCACCTTTGGTAGAGTGCTGAGGCATCACAGCTCACAGCAACCTCCAACTCTTGGGCTTAAGTGATTCTCTTGCCTCAGCCTCCCAAGTAGCTGGGACTATATATCTATATCTATATCTATATCAATATGTATATCTATATCTATCTATCTATCTATGTATATATAGATCTATCTATCTATATATATATAGATCTATCTATCTATCTATCTATCTTTCTATTTATCTATATATATAGGCACCTGCCACAATGCCCAGCTGTTTTTTGGTTGCAATTGTCATTGTTGCTTAGCAGGCTGGGGTCTGGTTTGAACCAACCACCCTAGGTTATTTGGTCAGCACCTTGCTGACTGAGCTATAGGTGCTGCCAAGAAAAAAATGAGTGGGGCTGGGTTTGAACCTGCCACCTCTGGCATATGGGGCTGGTACTCTACTCTTTTGAGCCACAGGCACTGCCCGAAGACAAAAAAATTTTTTTTTTTTTTTTGAAACAGCCATAAGGGAGGCAGAAGTGTTATTTTCGAGTTGGTTTTTTTACCTATTAATAATTGTCTTCTTTCTTTAGGATTTGGCTTAATAAAACTTGATTTGAAAACAAAATCTGAGAATGGATTGGTAAGTCGTCTAACCCACATTGAACATGGGGATTCATTGTAGATCAGCAAGTTACTGCCATGTCCTGGCTGACAAAGCCAAAGGAAGGCATGTTTTTTGAGTGTGGCAGTGTGTGCTTGTTGCATTCGCTGCATCCTCTAGATGACTGTGGGTGTTCCAGGGAGACCATGCCAATAGGCCTCTAATTTAGCAGCTGTTAATACTCATGGGAAAATGGGGGCAGGTTTCAGTTTTAGTTTTCCTTGGCCTTCTAAACTTTAAAACTGACCTATGTTTAGTCATGTAATTTTTAGTAGTTCCTTTTAGATTGTGCATGCAGTAATTGTTGGAAAGAAGAAGTTTCAGGTTTGAATTACTGCTCTGTCATCTTCAGCTCAATGCTTGTTCTCTGTACTAGCCTGAAGACAGGATGGAGTGGCGGAGGTCGCCTTCCTGTCCAGACTGAAGAGTTATAGGGGAGGAAGGAAGCTGTCTTCATAAGGTTCCTTTAGGTAGCAGGCTCCTTTACCACCATCTGTACTTTAAATATCTAATTGAATTGTAGAATTAGCTTTTGCCCTGACATATTTAGGGTCTTACATCTGGCATAAAGCCAGGTTACAGAATGAAACCAAGTGAGTGGTGGGGGGCGGACTATGATTCTCTCTCTCTCTCCTTTGAAGGAATTTACAAGCTCAGGCTCAGCCAATACTGAGACCACCAAAGTGACGGGTAGTCTGGAAACCAAGTACAGATGGACTGAATATGGCCTGACGTTTACAGAGAAATGGAACACTGACAATACACTGGGCACTGAGATTACTGTGGAAGATCAGGTAATGGCTACTGTGAAAAGACAAGGATTTATTAATTCACATCTGCTGGCCTGCCTTGTGACTAAACCTGCTGGCAAATTTCTTTTCTGTTCAGCTTGCACGTGGACTGAAGCTGACCTTCGATTCATCCTTCTCACCTAATACTGGGTAAGATTCTCATGTGTTCTCTCCACAAGGACGTTCTGTGATGTTGCAGGCAGTGGAAGCCCTTTGGGACTAAGGATCTGAGGGATAGGGCTGACACCACCTAAAAGGCAGCCTCCTAGACCTGGAGATTTAAGGTCTCTGTTTTTTTTTTTTTTTTTTTTTTTTGAGACAGAGCCTCAAGCT